AGCTAACTGTCTCCCAGTCTGGCAAGGCCAGCTTCTTTCTCATCATCCATGGAGCCTCTTTCAGTCCAGGCAGCTTCTAGCAAATGTCCCCTTTCTCACAAAAATTGCTTTTTTTATTTTTTTAAGTCCATCAGGTTCCTAGCTCTTGAAAATGACTGTCCTGTCAGCTTCTGGGAGCACAGGGCTTGGCCCTCTGAATCCCAGGTGGGAATTTGAAGCAACTCACCGCCTTGTCCTTGGGAGCAGAAAGCCTGCTACAGGCTGGCACATGTATACAGCACAGTAAAAAATAAATGGCAAGATAAGCATGCCTGTTGCTTAAGAGTGGATGGTGTCATGTCAGGTGTGTGTATATATGTATACCTCATAGGTGAAAAGTGGTATTTTTGAAAAACAAAGACACTAACTTATAGCAACAGCAAGCAATGAAGATTTGTAAAAGTCAGGTGGAGCTCTGTGCTAGGGGGAGTCCCTGTGCAGCATAATTATTAGGTTGTAGATAGCAGTTAAAAATGAAGACCTGCTTTTTATTTCCCACTCTGCCACCTACTGTGTGACCTAAGGAAATACAGTGAAGTCTTTAAGCATTGTTGTCTGTACTGCGTGTACAAGCATAAATCATCTGTGACGGGTGCTCTGACATCTATAAACCAATCTGTATGGGAATAATGTTTTTTGGGGGTGTGTGTTAGGGGGTTTTTGTGTTGGTTTTCTTTGTAGGTTTTTTGATACTTTTTTTTTTAAACTTCCATAAGCCTTACTGACACAGTTGTATGGAGAACCAGTTTGTAAACTGTTTACTGATACCTCTTTTGTTATGTAGCCTGATGGGAACTCCGGGACAGGAGCAGCAATAGCAGTGAAATTGCATCATGCAGCATGCATACTTCTGCCCACATAACTGTAGGCTTTCCTAGGCCCTGGCTGTGCTTGTTCATGACAGGTAGAGACTGAAGAAACTCTTTGCATTGTTGGTCACTGATGCTGTATCTAATGTTACGGGGTAGCTCTTAGTGTAGTTACTGCTGTAAAGGCTGTGACACGTGAATACGGTTGTGAACTACGCAATTTGAATAAAAGCCCAGGAGCAGTTCTAGTTCAAAAGGTTTGACACCTTCTTCAGAGTTTTAGGCTTTTTTTTTCCATTCTCTTCCACAGGCTGGCAACACCAAATTTAATCGAGCTAAACTGCTGAATGTAGGATACCTAGAGGCCCTAAAAGAAGCAAACTGGGACTGTTTCATTTTCCATGATGTGGATCTGGTGCCAGAAAATGACTTTAACATTTACATGTGTGACAAACAACCAAAGCACCTTGTAGTTGGCAGGAACAATACTGGATACAGGTAGGAAACGAGGAATATGAAAGGAATACCAACTGGGAAATGCCACATTACTGATAATGTTCCTCTTCTGATGGAGCTGTATGCTGGTATCTACGCTTCCTCCTGACACCAGGTTTCTGGTGGTAACGCTTTGCCTCCCTGGGTTGCCTTCTGACAAAAGATAACTGTACTGACATCTTTGAAGTCAGCTCCGTGGTCATCTGTATGAATGATCATTGTCATCATTCTGATTTCTGGGGTGAGGTAAATGGCGTTCTGAGAGGAAAGGAATGTGCCAGAGGTTGTGCAGAGACCTGTCAAAGCTAGAAATATATTTGCAGTCTCCTGGTCCTATGATTGGATGGTGTCATCTTACTATTGTGCTAATAAAACTTGCCACTTAACGTTTTGCTGTTGAAGAGGTAATGTCTGATATTGAGAGCTCGAGTGTGAGAATTTGCCAAGGGATAGGCTTGTCCTTTAATTATTTGGCTGGACAGTGTCTAATACAGGATCATTCTGATTTTTAAATGGGTCCCCTAAGTGCTAGTGCGATATAAATAATTTAAAGTGGAAAGTCATGTTCAGTCCACCTCAGAGGAGAAAAAGGCTCCGGAGTTTGGTGAATTTAATGACTAGAGTGTTTTCATTGAACTTGCTTCTTTCAAGATTCACCTCTTATGTCACTCTCAATATTAATTAGAAGTGGGTTTTTCAAACACTGATCTCAAAGTACTTTGAAGTAAAGCCCTGCTTCACTTCTGGGTTTCCTTTGTTAAATATATGAGAAAGAGGTGGGATGTGCAAATTCTTATACAGAGTAACACTCACTTTCCAGTCATTTAGTGAAAACTGGAACAAGCACAGATGAACTGGGCTCATGACAGGTTTTGGGAGCGCTGCGCCTTGCAGAGGGGATGCTGGGGGCTACAGGATGGTCAGTGCACCAAAGCAGCAAACACTGCTTTGGTTATTTGGCAGGCATGTAGAATCCAGGCTAATAATGTGGCACAAAGCTTGAGGTGCTTTACTTAACCTCCTGTGCTTTGTTACTTCAAGTGTTTTGCTTAGTTAAGCATGCAGATGGATTTTTGCTTTTACTAAGTGGCGCTCTTACTATTAATTTCCTCAGGTTTCTCCTGTTTGTGGAAAGGAGCTGTTAGTTATAGGTCAGCTTTAAGCTTTGGTTTTAAAGAGTACAGACAAAACATTTTTGTTGTGAATACCCCTGCACTGGTATTTGTTAGGATACTGATAGTTTGAATGAGATTCATACTTTTCTGTGTCACTGCCTCTGTTTACACATCTGTGAAGTGAGGATAATAATGCTTTACTTCCAAGGGAATTCCTGGCTATGTCTAGAGGAATTCGGATCCTGAGCTCAAGAATGATACCTAAACTGAGCTGAGACCACAGGCTGAAATCCCAGTTGGGTGACCTCGGTGTTTTGCTTAGGCTGAGGTGGGCACACTGAGACGTGTTGCTCAGATGAGGTTGAGCAAACTGAAGTCATAAGTGTTCTGCATTAACACAAAACATCGTAGGCAGGAATGTGGGATTTTTGTGTGTTTCGTGGGGGGGTTTGTTTGTTTTTCTTCCAGGAGGATATCTTCTGTGGTGAGCAGCCGTGCTGCTTTGGAGAACAAGTTTTAAATTCTTTAGAAATAAAGAATAGAGAATAACTCAGGTTTAGATCCTTTAGAAAAAAGGTTTATGTATTAAAACTTTGAAGGTAAGGGTGGAAAAACTTCATCTAAGCTATTTCCTTGAGACCAGCACAATATCTTTTCCTAATGACCATTTTTATTGTGTGGTTTCTTCAGTCCAATTTTAAGTCTCAAAAGAGTTGATACTCTCTTATCCCCAGGGAAGAGGTGGTTGAATACTTAAAGGTGCATTTTTACAGACTATGTCGCCTTGGAGCAATACATGCCTGGGCCCTGCCGGTTCTGCTCTGCCTGAGGAAGGTTGCATGAGCAGCAGCACTGTCCTGTTAGAGCTCTGGCTCCTTTGGTGTCTGCCTCTCCAGTGGTCCAGGGGAGTTAAGGGTGCACAAACAAGCAGTGGGGTGCGTGTGTGTGCATGGGCCGTCAGTTCCCAAACCCTACCAGGCTGCTGGAGATGTGGGACTGTTGGTGAGTGGCAGTGCAGCCTGAAACCCTGCAGTTGCTGTTTATGGGACCTCCTTGCTGTCCCTTCCACCTGTTCACTGTGTTTCTCTAGAGCACCCCTAGTAGAAGTCTCAAGGTGGTGATGCATAATTAGAACTTGACAAGGCCTCCACTACCTTGTGGTTGGTCTCCTCTAGGAGAAGAGATAAAGGAAGGGAGCAAGAAAGAGTAAAAATTCCAGAGGCAGAAAAAAAAATGCAGGTAGAGCACATGAGAGACTGCATATACCTAGAACAATCCTTTTTTTTGTATGTTTATATAGGTAACACCATCTTCTGGGAAGTAAATCACAGTCCCAGCAAATGATGGTTGAGTTTTTTTTCAGACAACTGGAAGAATCCTCATGTACAGAGGCCCTGGTTCTCATGGAAGATTCTAATTGTCCTGATATCTGCTGGAAGGGCAACACAACAGTAATCCAGGAGACTTCTGAAGTGAATTGATGATAACTTCCTGACACAGGTGATCAGAGCTGATGAAGGGAGGTGTTCTGCTGAACTTTATACTTAGAAACAAGGAACAACTGGTCAGGGATGTTAGAAAGGTTAGAAACAAGGAGGGAATGAGGCAGGATCACAACCATGGACTTTCTGTTCAGGGATCTGCTTGGAAGAATCACTTGGGATATGACCCTGGAGAGAAGAGGGGTTTGGGAGATCTGCTAGATCTTCAGGGGTTGCCTCCTTCAGGCTCAGGAATGGTCTGTTCCCGTGTGCAGAAAGTCAAGCAAAGGCAGATGGAGGCCTGCATCAATGAAGAAGGAGCTCCTGAGAAAACTTGAACAGAAAAAGGAGATGTGAAAAAGGTGGAAGCAGAGTCGGGTGACTTGCAAGGACACACAAGATGCTGTCTAAGCATGCAGGGGTTAGGAAAACCAAAGCCCCTCCAGAGTTGAATCTCACAAGCAACATAAAAGGCAATGTGAAGGGCTTCTTCAGGTACATCAGCTGCTGGGAAGCATAGGGAGAATGCGTGCCTGCTGTGTGGCAGGGGACCTGGTGACAAAAGACAAGATACCAGTGGAAAAGTCTGAACATCATAAAGCCCTGTGACCTTATGGGATGTATCCATGAGTGCTAAGGGAACTGTCTGCTAACATTGCGAAGTCATTCTGTTATCTTTGGAAGGCCATGATGACTGGGGGAGGTTCCTGAGGACCAGAAGAAAACAATCATCACTTCTACCTTCAGGACAAGCAAGAAGGAGGATTTGAGGAACTACAGGCTGGTCAACCCCACCTTTTAATCCCTGGGAATGTGATGAAGCAAATCTGTTCACAAGTCATGCCTGACCAGCCTAATAGCTTTCTCTGATTTGACTAGTTTGGTGGATGAGGGTGGAGTTAATGGATAATGTTTATCTTGACTTATAGGAGACAGTGTCGAAAGCCTTAACATCCCCATTGACAAAGTGATGAAGTATGGACTAGTGAGTGGGCAGTGAGATGGACTGAAAACTGGCAGAAGTGCTGGGCTCAAAGGGTTCTGATCGCTGGAGCAAAGTCTGGCTGGAGGCCAGTTTTTTTAGTGGTTTACTCCAGAGTTTGATACTGGGGCTGGTACTGGTTAATATCTTCATGAGTAACCTAGATAGGGCAGATTGAAAACTTGCTGAGGGTGCAAAAGATAGAAATCTTGGAGGGGTGGTTGATGTACCAGGGACTTTGTCAGGCTGGAGAATGTGGTTGGAGGCCAGCTGTCTGGAAAGCAGCTTTACAGAAATGGATGTGGGCCAGCAATGTGCCATCATGACAAAGGCCAGTAGCATCTTGGGCTGCATTAGGAGAGGTGTTGTCAGCATGTTGAGGGAGGTGATGGTTCCCTTCTACTCAGCACCACTGAGATGACATCTGGAGTGCTGGGTCTAGTTCTGGGTTCCCCTGCACAGTAAAGAGGTGGACATACTGGAGCGAGTCCAGGGAAGAACCATGAAGATGATTAAGGGATTGCAGGGACTGACATGACAAGAGAGGCTGAGAGTGCTGGGACTGTTCAGCATGGAGCAGAGACGGCAGAGGGGGATCTTGTCAATGTATACGCATATCTGAGGGAAGAGAGTAAAGAAGGTGGAGCCAGACTCTTCTTGGTGAAAGACAAGAGGCAATGGGCACAAACTGAAATACAGGAAATTCCATTTAAACATACAAAAAAAGCTTTTTTTTTTTTCTTTTCTTGTGAGGGTGGTAAAATATTGGAACAGACTGCCCAGAGAGGTTGTGGAGTCTCTGTCCTTGGAGATGGTCAGAACCTGAATGGAAATGGTCCTCAGCAACTTGTTCTAGCAGACCCTGCTCTGAGCAGAGGGGTTGGACTAGCTGATCTCCAGAGGCCCCTTCCAACCTGAGCAATTCTGTGATGCTATGACAGGAGCAAAAATCAGTCAGGAAAAACAGTCAATGAGGGAAGTTGCATGTGGTGTTTTTGGGGGGGTTTAAATTAGATTAGTGGTAAACCAGAAATAACAATAAGCACTGCACCTTTGCTTGTCTGGATACATTCTAGCCTGCGCAATTTGTTCATCTGTTTAGATTCACATACATCTAGAAATGAAAATCTGCATCTATGTACGCATCACCTCTGAAGTTGGCAGTGGTGATGAAGTAGAGGCTGTGTTGTAATGCTTACCTTAAGGGCCAAGAAAGAGGAGGGTATCGTAAAAAGCAATTAGCAAAATGGTGTAAGATAAATAAGCATGGTATGTAAATATCTTTAAAAGTAGATGCAGTTTCCAGAAGAAGGAAGGTAGAAGTTAGAAATTCATCTCCTTCAGAGCTGAACTCCATTACATTACGTTATTAAGTAACTTGCACCTGTACCTTACCTTGGAATTGGTCCTGCAATATCCCATAGTGTGTGCCCCCTTGCTGTGATCTGATTTCATTCCAAGTTTTTCAGATTCAGCTCTAAGACAGTCAATGGCTTGCTATCATTATTGCAAAGCTTGCACTGTATCAGTGCGTAGCTTTGTTCCTTTTCTACTCTGATGAGTCCTTGAGGTGAGGTGTCTTTTTGGCTGGCAAGGGGAGTCGTGTAAAGGGAGAGAGAAAAACTCTGCTCTCTGTTGGAGAGTTCTGGTCTAAACCAAATCACCATCCTTTTTGTGGAAAGAGGAGAACAAGACCTACCCCATGGATTTGTGTACCCTTAACTCTGTGAAAGACAGGTCTGCAATCCAGAGTTTCAGGGTGATATTTTCTTTGTTGGTAGAACTTGACTTTTAATTCTTCATTCTCTCTTCTTGTGTACTTCTAGGTTACGGTACCAGGGATATTTTGGAGGTGTAACTGCTCTAACAAGAGATCAGTTTTCCAAGGTGAATGGATTCTCTAACAGCTACTGGGGTTGGGGTGGAGAAGATGACGACCTTCGAATCAGGTAACAAATAAATAAATAAAAGGCTAGAGGGAAATGGGTGTGCGAGGGGAGGCTTTGATTTAAAATATAAAAAAATTGGTGTGACTTCACACCTAGCCTCCAAAGGTGGAACATGACAGGAGCCTTCAATGCAAAGCGGTATCCCAGTGTGGATTTGGAGTGGGACACGCACTTCTGTGAAGAGTTTCCTCTGAAAGGGTTAGGCATGCCTGAGGCCTGGTCCTCTTCCTGACAGCACTGTCGGCTGGGTGTGGGGTTTTGTTTTGGTAGTTTTGGTTGGTTTGTTTTGGTTTGGTTTTGTCTCAGCTACACAGCATTTGCATTGTTGCTTAGAAATCGCTCATAACCAAAATAGCAAGATTGAAGTCTGGAGTGTGACTTGACAAAGAGACACAAAAGTATTGAGTTCTAATACTTTGCAAGAGCATGGGAGTGGTTTGGTTTTGGTGGGATTGGGGTTTTTGCATTCATTGAGTACCACGATTTATTTCAAGCAGGGCTCAGTTTGCGTGTGGGTGATGATGATGATAGTTAAGATAGTGAACAAGTTGAATTTTAGAAAGACTGCATGTATAGGCATATGCCCTTTGCTCTTGTTAAAACTAGTTTTGCAGATGTGCCTGTTGAAGTAGGAGAGGCTTGGTAGTTTGAGAGGTTGACTGGGACAAAAGCCAACAAAACTTTTATGTTGATCTTCTACCTGTTGCCTAGGAGGAAACCTCTAATCCTGCATTGTTGTTAGTGAAGGAAGGGAAAAAACCCAACAAACCACCCCCCCCCAACCCTGCAAGCTCTGCTGGCAGAGCCTGTCAATTTGTAACTTGGGTGTACTCTGTCATTCTGACGTGTTTATCCTTTTCAGTTATTTAAATATGCAAACAAACATTTGGGGGACATAAAATTCATACCCCTGGTGATAGTAAATAATTACACCGGTGAAATCAAGTGTGTTAAAGTTAGGAACTTCCAAATGAAAGTTTTTCTGTGTGTCAGTTCAGCAGATCAGTCAGCTGTGTATCAAGAAATCTAAAAGGACATGGATTCCTGTCCCTCCTTAATCACAACTTTTTTTTTTTCTCTCTACCCCCTAGCTAGACACACTACGATCCTCTTTTCTGTGACCTCTTGGGAGTTGGCTTTGATAGTGGTAGGGGATGGCTTGGTACCATCTTATTCCCCAGCTTCCTGAGAAGTGTCAGTTAGTGAGTAAGCAAAGCTGATAGTGGTGTTATTTCAAATGTTCCTGTGGGCAGCAGAGAACCAGCTGTGTGGCACTTCAGGAGGATTTACTAAGGGTCTCCACAATGTTTGCAAGTGGCTGGAACCAAAGGGGCTACAAAGATGATTAATGAACTAGATCATCTGTTGTATGAGGAAAGGCTGAGAGAGCTGGGTCTGTTTAGCCTGGAGAAGAGAAGACTGAGAGGGGATCTCATCAACACTTATCTAAAGGGCAGGCATCAAGAGGATGGGGCCAGACCCTTCTCAGTGGTGCCCCGTGACAGGACAAGCAGCAACGGGCACAAACTGGAACTCAGTAAGTTCTATTGCAATATGAGAAAAACTTCTTTCTTCTGAGGGTGACAGAGCACTGGAACAGGCTGCCCAGAGAGGCTGTGGAGTCTTGTTCTCTGGAGATATTCAAAACCCACCTGGATGTGATCCTGTGCAACCTGCTCTAGGTGATCCTGCTTTAGCGGGGGGATGGACTAGATGATCTCCAGAGGTCCCTTCCAACCCTTAATGCTCCGTGTGATTCCATGATGCTTGCTTGTGCATGGCACCTCATAACTTTGCAGCTGTTGTGGTCTTGGTGTGGAACCAAATCGTATGACCCAGAGTGCACACTGCAACTGGACTTGGCTGGTGTCTTTCCTCTTGGGTAGATCTTGCACTGGGCTGGTGACAGTTTGCGGCAGGTAGGTAACGGGAAGCTTGCTCTCTCAGTGGGTTTGTGTGGAGATCCTTGCAGCCTTCCTCTGTGAAGACAGAAGATGGCAGCAGCCCCTTCAGTATCTTCAAGAACTCAGGGCCAGTGCTCTAGGTTGTACTGTTTTGCCTCTATGCTAAATGTGAAGGTCTCCTTTGGGCCCTTTCCTAAAGTGTGCATCACAAAGAGATTTTCAGATGGCTTATTTGATAATTTACTGCTAGAGTCATTGGAAAGCTATAGGAGCTCAGTTTCTTCAATCCTTGGCTTCCTATTGCTTTCAGATGCTGATGTGACTAGCAAAGACCTGGGCTATTCCTTAATTGCATTGACATGAAGCTAATAACCCTTTCTGCTGACAGAGCAAAATTGTTGTGCTGCACAGATACACTTAAGGCCAAAAGCTCCAACCAAGTACCTGATGTCAGACACTTAAATCTGTGCATGGGGCTTAGTGTTTCTGGCACTGTTCTCAGAAATAAATTTTTCTTCATGTCAACAAATAAAAATTTTGCAGCTGTCTGCCAACCATTAAAAAAGATTATTTCTTTTAAAGTGGCAAACTATCAAGTGTACAGCTTTATTGCAGGAGTTGAGATGAACTTGTTGTAAAATGTGTGGAATTTTGCTACAGACCTCCTAGGTTTAATACAGGGCAGTACAAACTAGACCAGATGATACTAAATTAAGTGTACTCTGTTGTATAATGTGTGCTTAAAGCTCTACATGATCTCTACTGTAGTAACTACCTGTGTCTGTTCAAAAAAAAAAAAAAAGGAGTATCTGTCATCTTACTGGACTTGTCTTCCAGAAACACAGCTCTGAGCCCCATTTCTCTGGCAAAATGGGTTGTGGAAGAGATGAAGATGAGTTTCCTACAGTTCTCTGTGCTTGCTTTGATGACATCTACAAGAGATGAAGTCTCCAAATGTTGTAATTTTTTTTCCTTAAGAGGTTGTTTATAGGTGACATCTTGCTCATGGCACTATTTTTTCTTCCAGGGTTGAGATGCAGAAGATGAGAGTGGTGAGGCCATCTGCTGATGTAGCCAGGTACACGATGATCTTCCACAAACGAGACCATGGTAATGAGGAGAATGGAGAGAGGTGAGTCAAAGACAGTGTTCCACCTTGCATTGTTGTGGTATGTGACTAGGAGCCAGGCACCTGGCGGCCACATTCTTTGCTCTAGGCCAAATAGGCATTTTGTGGTACCCAGAGGTTTTGGGTGACACCACTGTGACACCATTGTTCACAGCTCATAGCTGCTGTTCTGTGCACGAGATCTGCCTAGAATTGACTGGGTGATGTTTAGAAACTTCCAAAGTTATAGTTACATGGATGTGACTTGAGCAAATGATTTCAGAGATTAAACCAAAGGACTTCTTTTTCCCCATGGCTGATTGTCCATGCTGAGGACAGGAAATACAGAATGGCTGTATTTCTGCCTCTAATTTTACTAGTAGTGGGAAAGAGCTCGAAATTCCTTTCCTATGCATGTCGGTGAAGATGTTCTCCTCTTTTGTCCTCAGGATGAAGCTTCTACGTCAGGTATCTAAGACGTGGAAAACAGATGGGCTGAACTCTTGTTCATATAAACTGCTCTCAGTGGAACATAACCCTTTATATGTCAACATCACAGTAGATTTCAGCAGGGAGCTGAAGATCTTCTAAGGGCAGCCACCACTGGTTACAGGAAATGGCAGCAGATCATGTCTGTGGCTGCTGTTGCAGCAGATGACTCCTGGTACTTTGCTTGAAAGAGTACTTCAGTAGCACAGAAGAAAGTTTTTCTTCACAGTAGCTAATTGGTTGAGAATTTCCTTTTGTGAGGACCGGAGATAGGAACTGACCCAAGGGCCAGGTCCTTGTGTTCTTCTAAGCACTTTCTGCTGGGATGTTTGCAAAAGTGTCCTTGTTTGGGCTGGTCCACTGGAAGGACTTGAACTAAGTCTCCTGGAAAAAAAAAAAAATTCTTCTTGCAACTATTCCTAAACTTATTGTTGTAGGGGGAAGGCAGCCTAGCGCTGCCAAGACTTCAAAAGGAACAGGCCAGTCTTTCTTTCATTAAAAGCACAAGAATTCTTCAGCAACTACCAACTTGCTGAGAAAAGCTAATTTTTTTCCAGCCTGAGGGAAAACTGCTTATATGTGAGGGAAGGGCAATAATGGTAATAAGCAAGATGATGTTAAAAATCTCTCAATAAATACACTCCATTGAATTCAAAAGGCTTCTCTTGTCCTTTGTGAGCTCAGCTAACCCTGCTGTGGGACTGCTGAAGTGTCCTGTGGCAAAAGAAAAAAAGTCTCTGTTCTGCAGTAGGCTGCAAGTAAGTGGTGTGTTTGTTACTCTGGAGAGATCAGGAAGGAAATGCAGTGACCGGCTATGTCAGATGGAAAGAAATTCCTGTCCACACTTCTTAATGTTTTGGGCCACACTGTTAGCAGAGTGCATATTTGTGTATGTACCCAGGCCACTATTATTTGTGATTCTGGTTTTAGAAGATTAGTTAAAGTCTGTGGTTAACTAACTGTTCCAGTATGCTGCAGGGTTACTACTAAAATCTTGGATTAGAGCACTTTCCTTAATGCATTATACCTAACTGTCCTTACACCTGCTTGTTGGATATGCATCCCTTGCAGGTAGCTGTGAAGCCAGGGTTGGGAGAGTTTCTCTTAGGACACACTATATTAAGAATTACAAGACAAAAAGCAACTTTGGCGTACTGTAATATTGAAGAATGGTTCTCTAGATAGTTGACACATTAGTCCAACTGTAGAGAAAGCTGCAGCTTTAAATAAATTCTTAGGTGTTAGTGGGATACATACAGCTTTTCAGTGAGCAGGGAATTTTAGTATCTACAAGTAACAAGCAAAAATACCCTGTGTTATGCTTGCAAAATAATTGGACCTGGTAGGTAGTGCTATTGACTGACTTTATAGATAAAGAAAGATTACAGAAAGGGGAAAGTCTTGGGCAGACTGTGTCAGTCTCACAGTCAGGTAAATACAAATGCATTCCACTGTTGACATGTTTGACTTAGGTTTTTCCTCTAGTATTTCATTTCTCCAAAGTATTTTATGTTGACGACAGATCAACCTTGAAAGATAATTAATGTTTAAGCAACAGCTGAAATACTAAATTAATTTCCCTACTCTGAGCACAAGGTTAGACTAGGTAACAGCCACAGGTCCCATTCAGCCTGAATTGCTTACAGCGACAATAAAAACATTTAAATACTGGTTTTGTCTAGTTTCAGGGCAACTTCCTCCTTTATTATACTCTTACTAAAATATTCTAGAAAATCTTAACCCAAACACATAACTTTTATTCAAATTCACAAAAGATATTTACAGAACTGTAACTGGCTTCAACACTTTCTGAAAATACAGCACTTCAGAGGCCTGTTTGACAGAATGGCTTGCATCCCAATTAACACTTCAGTAAGAAGCAGGACAGCTATCCAGCTATGGAAGAAAGGTTCCAGAAAACTTGGGTCAGTTTACTGTCAGGGAGACCTTGATCCCCAAGGCCTGAGGGCTGGGAGGTAGAGGCCAAATGCCCATATGCATGCTGCCATGCAGAGCCCAAACTCTGCCTTTGTTTTCGTTCTCTTAAGAAAATGGGGGAACATATCCAATGTCCACAGTGATGTTGGTATAAAGAGGATGCCTTGTCTTGGAAAGGAGCTTGAACTCTAATGAATTCATTCCATCATCCTTCCATGTTTTTCTGGTGTCATGTCGGGTAGCAGGCCTGAAGAGAGAATAATACCTGCAGTTAGATAGCAGAACAAAGGTGATGTTGGCAGCTGAAGCTGCAGAAGAAACAGTCTTCCAGAGAAGACTGCTTATAGCAGATGAAAGCTGCTAGCAGAAGAGCCCCAAGAAAATTCTTCTCACATATAATACAGACTAGAGAGAGAAGGCATTTTCTAATCTGTTTAGTCTTCTTATAAGTTGAATATTCTGAACAAGGACAATTTGGACTGGAGACTAGCAAGGTGGCAACTACAGTCTGCAAAAAAACCAACAAACTGGCAGCCAGCTTAGAGAGACCTGGGAGTGCAACACAGAGGCTTGCAACAATGGTGTATATAGGCTACTGTAGGTAGGTTTTAAGACAGGGTTGTTATGGAAACTGGAGTTTTGAGATGACAGAGGGAAGCATGCACTGTCAGTATGAGAAGCCTCTACCACACTTGACCCAACATCCTCCTCCAGCTCTCTTCTGTAAAACTGGGTCTTTGCTAAGGTCTCTCATAGCACCTTCCTCATGTCTTCAAACTGGAATGCTGCTTTCTACTATTTTAATGGCACACTGCAAATCCACAGATTGAAGAGCAAGGTTTTGTTATAGGGGAGTTGTAACAAAGTACCCCTTCAAACAACTACTCCCTGGTTACAAGACAGGCAGTATTTTTTTTTGAAGTTTTATTCCCTGAATAATTTGATGCTTAGCAGTAGGAAACAAGGAGAAACCCTTCAAAGGCAGAGACAGGTACAGAATGATTCAGTTGCAACTGACTGGGAACCTTCTTTAAATAGCCACATTAAAGCAGAAAAACAAGCAGCAGCAGTTTTGAGGAAGATGATAACTGCCTGCCCCCACCACCCCAGAACAATTACCTTCTCCAAGGCTCTTGTGTCTCAGCCTCTTCATTGTAGTCCATCACTTTGTAGCGTCCAAGGTGAGGGGATGTCCGAACTATCTTCGTTCCTGCTAACCGAATCCTTTAAAACAACAAACAAAATGTTTGCTTAGGCGTAAAGGTGCCATGTCTAGGCTTAGTTATAGGAAAGTTACAAAGTCAGAGATGATTTTCAGTGTTAATGCAATCAAAGGAAAATGCAGAAGCTGAAAGGAGCAAGTTCAACACCACGGTGCCACATTATCTTCTCTAGCAGTTCTAACCAGGCTTGGGCTGGAAAGCTGCCAGCTGCAATGCACTTCAAACGGGGTACAAAGAGGATTATAGGAAGCAGGGAGTGAACAACGGCATACAGAGCATTCAAGAGCAATTTCCACCAATCTGACAATTGAGCATTATTTTCACTTCCTCATAAAACCAGAGCTTTTACTGCCTAGAGGTCCATCACCTAAACTTTTAAAAAAACCAAACCAAACAAAACCCCCCAAACTTGCAGTTTCTGAAAAAAAGCCAGTCCTGAGTTTGAGATCCAGATTAAGCTTTTCCCTGTTCTTTGAGAAATGCCATTCATTCAGATTGCCTGATTACAGGACTAGCTTCATAAAAGATTAGTGATAAATACAGGCACCAGACAAACAAGTGTGAGCTGTTCAGCTGCAGAACAGTTAGACAAGAAAAAAGTGAACTGAAGGCTCAGAATTCCAGAAGAGAGCTCCTAAAACCAGCATTTTGGGTGACATTCAAGCAATCCATTGCTGATGGCATCTATGTTAGTTTACTAACAAGAAGTGCTGTAATAGTTCTAGGGCTAGCAAACTTCTCTTATCATAGGGCAGCTCTTACACAGAGAAAATTCCTGTGACTATAAGAATGAATGTTTGCTCAATCAAGGTTATCTAACTGGCATGTTTGCAGCATTTGATTGCCTTCCCTTGAGATCTCGTACAGCAGCAAGCTACACTGAAGCAG